AGGTTATGAGGAATTTTTGGGATCCTTTTCTTCATATTTCCTAAGTATTGTCTAAATGATTTCAATGTTCAAAATGGAAAGAACATTGCCAGTGATGGAAATAACAGAAGCAGTAACCAATGGGCAAACAAGCAATTCTTAGTGAGTTTTCATTTGTTTGGCTAGAAAATTGTATAGCTTTGGTGTTTGGATGCTGAGAAAATGCTTTCAATTTGTTTGGTTACCGAGAAAACCATAATGGCCGTTAAAGAAAATTTGATGAGAAAATTTGATGAGAAAATTGTGATTTAATTATAAATTAATTTAGAATCTCAATTTTGATTAATATAAATAATTATAGTTTAATGATAATTAATTAGTGGAATTTGACTTGATATTATTTTTTATTCATATAAACATTTAAATTTAATTTAATTTGTTACATTATTAAAAAAATATAAAAAATATCACATAATTTGCCATGTCATCAAAAGACATCTTTTTTTATTGGTGATGTGGGGCCCATTTGAGTGGATTGGGTGCCATGTCATCAAAAGACATCTTTCTTTATTGTTAATGTGGGGCCATTTGAGTAGATTTGGTGCTTTTGAGTCATGGTAACATGATATGGCAAAACGTTTTGTCCATATCATCATTTTTTTAAATTTTGTTGTTCACATCATTCAAAAAAAATATAAAAAATGCCACATGGACGGAGCTAATGGTCCAAATTAACAGAAGAACTAATGATATGCATTTTTTAGAGTTGAAGAATAAAAAAAGTACAAAAAATTGTTGAGGGATCAAAAATGTGTATTTTTTAAAGTTGAGGGACTAAATTTAGAATTTAACCTTAAAAAAGAAGGGAGCGAGTAATTGTTTAAAAAAATAAATCACAGCTCCAAGATCGGCGGATTCTCTTTTTCCATTTTTAATTTTATTTTTTTTCATCGTTAAATATTACAAGTATGACGTGGGAGATTGGATAACAAGGGTATGTGACAGATCCCTTGTAGTTTAAGGAGAGGGACGCATGAGCCCTTAAGTTATAAAAAGGTCTCCTCACTTGATCCTTTTAACTACTGTATGAATTTTTAAGTTAGTTTTTAAAATAAAAAATTTTTTGATTTGATTTTTAGAGTTTGTAAATTTAGCTTAAAGTTAGTTTCTTCATTAAAAAATAGGTAATGTATTCCATTATTAACATAGTATGTTGTTATCAAGAAATGAACATGTTAATTGTTTTTTAACATAAACACCAATTTAAAGTTAAATTTGAAAACTTTAAAAACTAAATCAAGAATTTTTTAAATTTAAAAACTAATTCAGGGATCTATATTATAGTTAAGAGATCAAATTAGAGATTTAACCTTACAAAAAATGTTGCAAAAAATATTTGTATAATTTATTCAATGAAACAACACAACATTTATTAGCCAAAAGAAAAATTTTGTATATAATGCAATTCAAATTCAATATTAAGAAGATGTATTAAGTTTGAGTTATATAACAGGTGATAAATAGAAAGGATTGTAT